AAGTGAGGTACACCCTCACTACAGCCTTTGTACCGGTCGCCGTGCATGTAGTTGTGCATCAATTTGGGGCTTTCATTTCTACTTTAGCAGAGCTAGTGGCGAAGTGAAAAGTCCACAAACACAATGAAGCTGAAACCAGAAACTAGACAGAGGGTGACAAATGTCATGACGGTTGCTAAAATGACCTTCCAGTTTGGTTTTATTCCGTTTCTACTTTACTTAGGTAAGTCATCTAGTCGTTGTCATCTGTCTTGTGGGTTCCGTCGACATGGTCGAGTGCACCCCTTCCCCCATTCTTTATCTTCTACCTCACCATAGTCACCTTGTATTTCCATATTATTTGAAGATAAGTCCATTCGGCCTGGGAAAATTGACACTAAGGAAGTGTTGCTTTAGTCATGTTAGTTTCACATACCGGCATAACCAGCAGTATTTTTAAACTTGGTGTTTATACATTATATCCCTAACCTGCTAACCCCCTACCCAACATGTAACTGTGATTCTGCCCTGCTGAAATGACATCCAACTACATGTACAGTATATGGAAGAAAGTGTGAAGCTTGATCTCAGACAACCAACAAGCAAATTTTTGTTCAAATTTGCAATGACAATTACATATATTTTTAACCAGTCCAACTGCGAACTACAGTTGGGACCATCAAAACTAAAATGGGCCAGCCCAACGAACTGTAGTATTACAGTTGGGATTCCCAACTAGGCCTATAGTTTGGACAGTGCTGTAGTTAGGGCATAACACCATTAAAGAACTCAACAACTTGGTGGCCGGATGCACAGCTCACCAAAATTTCCCACAACAGTGACTAAGCTTTAGAACTAGAACAAGTGTGAATTGATGCCCAACATTAAGAAGTTGTAAAGGCTTCTTTTTTATTTTGTCCACATCGCAGGCTTCAAGAAAGGAGCAGAGCAAGGAATGCCGCCATTGACAATATTTCATTTACTTTGGGCATAGACTTGAAGCAGCACACAAACGTTGGCCACATTTATTCTGATCTTACTGGTCATGACCCTCAGAATGGGCATGTTCCTTCAGGGGTTGATGGAAGAATGGTTTCTACACCAAACTTCAGTTTTTGTGGAAGTGGCATGAATCACTCTCCTGGATGCAACATGGTGTTTCAATGCATGCAGATAGATCACACATCAAGTCAGCATAATCTCCTAGTCCAGATCAACAAAGTTGCAGTCACCAAGCTTCATGCTACATGTATGGCAGAGGCCACATTTGGATGACTGTAAAGTAAGCTTCAACAAGAAAGACTCATCTGTTGCTCTGTAGTTATGCCATAGAAATGTGCTCTATACATCCTGCTGTACAGTCAGCCATGCATAGAGCAGATACGCCATGGGAAATCTAAACTGCATCAGTGAACATGATTGATTTAAAACTTAGCGTTATTCCATACTTAACCATGAAGTGGAACTGATTTTACAGTCAGAAATTTCAGTGAAGTTTTAATGTGGTACTGCCGTTCCTTTGAGTAAAGCCCTTTGACCTGAAGCTTACTTGGAATTATAAACTAGTCTTAGTCAAAAATCATGTGGCACAAAACACAGTAAAGGGTCCAGTGCTCTTTATACATGTACATGTACCATCACAATAGCTGCATTTCCCTGATGGTTTTAGATTTTTGTCCTAAGCACTCCACAGCCTGTTTTCTGTGCTTATCAATGTGGAAACCATAACTGGATTGAGACTCATGAATGAGTCTGTTTTGAAATAAAAATCAATGATTGTTTTTATATCAAACCTTACATGTAACTTTTGTTCCATTATGGCCGCAAAAGGGACTAAAAACTTGGTATAAATATAAGGCCCATTTTGAACTTTTTCATTTGAACTACTGCCTGTATGCTTATTCACAAGTATAAATATACAGTGTGTATCAAAAAAACCCAACAAGATTTCTGTTCAAGTTGGTGAAAATTGTGTTAGTTTTACACCAAAGTGAGTAGTACATGTAGCACCTTAAAGCCTCCTACCTCCTCTTTCCAATGATATGTTATTTATTCATACACGGTCATGGATGGCCGACTAATTCTTTTGGGACAAAATGCGACAGTTAAAAACACATCCATATTTACTCCTTGCGTGAACAATCGTGTGTGCGCTTGGCAAACAGCAAAAATAGCAGCTGGTGCATTACTGTGAATGCATCAATGAGAGTTCGGCAGTCTGTCATGAATATGTATGAGGTATGGTAATGTTAACTGTTAATGGCTGTTCAAACTCTTGCAGAAATGTATAACCACAGGTGGAACACTGCTGATGTGACTGGCCCTGTCAGTTCTGTTCTGTTGCTCGTTTTACCTGTGACTCCATCTTCTGCCTTTGTATATGGAGTACACGTACATGAAGCTTTTCCCAAGGATTGATTTGCACGGGGGAGATGTTAATTAATTCAAGATTTTTGCCCTGCCCGACGTGTATTATCACACTGAGTATACAGTGTGACAATACACGAAGGACTGTCTGGTTCTACTCTAATCTGAAAGACAACATCTATTGATGCTGGAGTATCTCAGCCAGGACTGCTGCCATGTAAAAAGAGCCCAGATTAAGCGGTTTTACGTAATTTTCTTTTGTTTACGAACCTGTTCACACTGTATACTCAGTGTGATAATACACGTCGGGCAGGGCAAAAATATTGAATCAATTACATGTAGCTTATTCAACATTACACTTGTTTATAATAATTGCAGCAGACGTGTTTCATTATGTTAGCCCTAACCTCCCAATTATGGCAGATTTGTTTTCTTAGAGCAAAATGAGACCATTTTCAAACAGCTGTGTCCCTCAACAAAATATAAATAGAGTTTATTTCTGCATGTCCTGAATTTCCTGCAATCGTAACTTCATTCAAAGTCATCGGTGCACAACTATAGTCGACTCTCATTATAAAGAACACTATTATAACAAAATCCTTTTATAAAGAACAAATTCTGCGAATCCCACTTTCTTGAATTCATATGTTTTTCTTTGTTTTTCCACTCGTAACAAAGTTCAGGATATAACAAAGTAATTTGTCTGGTCTCTGCAACTTTGTAACAACGAGAGTCGACAGTAATAATATGTAAATGAATGTCGATTCTAACTGAAAACAAATTTTACAAAAAGTTGATCAATAAATTGAGACACATGTTGATAGTACACGGCTTTTTCTTTGAGGAAACAAGCTCAAATTCATTTAATGGCCATTGAATACAACTTGATGTAAATCACAAGTAAATCACAATTTTTATACTGTCCTTTTCAAATGTCTTCAAAGAAATAGAATCAGTCCAGTATATCCAAATGATGCAACTGCAATGGAAGGATTGATGGATGAAAGAATTACATACAAATTCTAAGCTTTGACAACACTGGGGATGGTATATTGTTATTAGGAGACACTTCAGAAGTTCACCCTTGGTTTTGCCTTGAACTGCACATTAGCCGCATGTTTATGTGGAATGGGGTAGATGTATTTTCAGTACATATTTGGGATGATTATTATTTTGCGTTAACCACTTCCTGCCGGGGCATTTATCAATATTGATGATGCTGGGGCGGGATAGTTATCATTTTTTTTTGTTTTTGAAATTCTTTAAAAATTCCTATCTTCATTTACTGGACACTTACAAACACGTGAAGGCATGTCTGGTGTCCACTCTAGCCAGACAGACAAAATCTATTGACGCCCGAGTATTTCAGCCAGGCCTGCAGCCTTGTAAAAAGAGCCCAGATTTTGTGGCATTACGTAATATTCTTTTGTTCACGAACCTGGCTCAGTGTACTGCTGACCTCTTTTCAATAGGGGCCAGATTAGCGTGCAGCGGTGCTGTGTGGCTCATCGCTGCGGTGGTGGAGTGCTTTTGTCCCCGGTGGTACTCCGCTCGCTCTAAATGCCCAAACCGTGGTATACTGTTTCAAAACAAGGCAGGATTATCTCCAATTTTGAGAGTGAAAAAATGTTGGTAATGCCCAGCAGCCTGGTCTTTTGTTCCGAGAACAGTCTTTTGTTACAGGGCCCTGTTCCCTTTGTCTAAATTCGGAGACCCCGGCCACGCATACAGAGCATATGTGTCCAGATCCGGTGTCCCCGGCAGGAAGTGGTTAAAACTCGTAGAGGTATTTAACACTGTGGACTATTGTTCTGCTTTTATACCAATGGCTTGCCACAGTGTGCCAACCACTGATAGACCAAAACAACGACTGGCATAGCAAAAGAGAGCTGGGGTGCCTACAAAGAGCTAGTCCGTGTAACAAAAGACCGTACTCCGAATAAAAGACCTGCTGCTGGGAATTGGCATCATTTTTCGGCTTGCATTTTGGGAGGTAATCCGTCACTGTTTGTAAACAGTATACCATTGTTTTGGCCATAGCGCGCCCGCGGATTAGCACCGCAGACAAAAGTGCTCCAGGGCCCCATTGATGAGCAACACAGCACCGCTGCATGCTAATCCAACCGCGTTTGAAAAGACGCCACCCTCATTCACTGGGGATAATGGAAAAAATTATGCAACACCTCACAATTCTGGGCTCTCTTTGCAGGGTGGCAGGCCCGGCTGAAATACTCAGTAGTCAATGAAGGTTGCCTGTAAGCTTAGAGTAACACCAAACAGTCATTTGTGTGGGTGTAAACATCCATTAAATGAAATGAATTTTTGAAGAATTTAAAAAACTGAAAATCTTGAAAATCTCCTGTATATGTGCCCTACATTTTTAAAAGCATCCGGCAGCAAGTGGTCAAAGTGGTAAATGTGAACTGGGTAAATTCAAGATCAATCCAGATTAGAGAGGATCTCAAACCTTGGGTCAGCCTAGGATCACCGATGTGCATGGGAACATACACGTATGATAATTTCACACGCATACCAACTCAAAAATAGCGAAGATGAATCAGTCAGGATCATACCAGCCATCCCTGCCAAAATGAATGAACAATTTTCCTGAGGCATTCCAACACACGAGCTTGATCTAATAAGATGCCAATCAGATTCTTTCAATAATCTTAATGTTGGTATCACGAGCAAGTTGTCCAACGTGTGAAGACAGCACCACAGGTAAACTTTCTCATCCAGCTGAATCAACGTGGACACATGGCATGCCGGCCCCCATCGATGGGTAGGTTTGTCCCGGTCATAAAGGAGGCATCATCAGACGCAAGGAACAAGATGGCCTTAGCAACCTCGCTGCTCTGTCCTATCCGCCCCATGGCATGCACCTTCTTAGCTTTCTGAAACCAGGAAGAGAAAGCGGGCAAAAATACATGATACACCCTTAGCCTCAACCTGAACATTAAGACTGGTTTTGTCTCAGCAGATTTCCTGGAAAATGAGTGCAAAGCCTTCCGCTCTTCTCATTCTTCTTATTCTCCACCGCCCTCATAGATAAACAATGTTTCTTGCCTTGTTTCAACAATTAATAGGAGACAGAAACATTGACACTGTCAATATCAAGCTTTTTGTTTAGTAGAAATGTTCACTCTAAGATCACTGCGTGGTTTGAAATTCTTCTGTTAAGGTCCCTGTTGCACTGTATCTTACTCATGGTCGACTTGGATTATATTTCAATCACTTAGAAGGTGATTTGGAGAATTCACTCAGCTGACTGGCAGTAATTTTACTGCCAGTAAGATTAGCTCCAAAAACAAAAATGAAACATCTTTGGTAGAATCCTTTTTCTTTCAATGAACAAAGATATTAAGATTTAGTAAAATACCTCAACAACTGAGTCAGCCCGACCAGATCTCTCATGCACTGGGGTCATAATTGTGCCAGGACTGCAGACCAAAGAATGCAAACAAACAAATGATCACAATAGTCTTGCATTCATTACCACTAGTGACGCAAACTCCAAAAATGAGAACTGAACACGAGGGAAACATCAAACTCTTCCAAGGCAAATAAGTTAGGGAGGGTCATGAAAGTTGGATGGCAAAAGAACGTCGCAGGAAGAACATTGCTTGCTTCAGTTAGGCACCCTGGCTGTTCCTCATTGAAAACAACATGTTCATAAATGATACAGGGGCAAAGTAAGAAAAACCAATGCTCACGGGTGTGCTAAGGTGATGAATTTTCGGCCCCATGGGCCTTCATCAGAGCTGTGGGGGACTAGTGGTTTGAATGCAGAGAATTCCACATTCAAACTGCCTCACGTCAGTGTTTGCCTGGCGTCAGTATTCCAATCCAAGACAATGTTCATAAATGGATACACTGGCCTGTACATATGCAAACTGACTTCTGAACAATAATTTCTGAATCGGAATGAAGTTAGTTCATGCCACAAATAGGCAGTGTTCTAAAAGGAGCATTTCACTGGGAACGTTTTGATTGTTGAGACGTCTCATCATGAGGAACAGACCCTGTATCCATCGAACTGCATCTCATATAATAACTCATCAAATCTCCACAAAACTTACTTGACAGCATTGACGCGAACTTGCTTTGCAGCTAATTCTGTCAACAGCAAAGAAAACAAGAACACGGCAAAAATTAAGTAACTGTTGTCCACTGCTGGCGTTAATATGGGGAAGTGCAGGACTTATTAAAGTAAGTATTGTTGGAAACAATAAACTGAACCTTTCCATCTGGACCAAACTGAAGAAATCCACTTCCAAAGTTCTACTCTAGTGTGCAAGAACCTCTGAACGGCAACAGAGAGACAGATTACTGCTAGTCAGTGCTGTTGTGTGCATGCATTTACAATTAGGACAAATGCAAAGACGATTCCAATATGTCCACATACAATCTACATATGTAGCTCTGCCTACTTCCACAATGCACAAGATCTAGTGTATGCATGCAGTGTGTCTGAATATTGGAGTTGTCACACAGGACCATCTCAGGCCCGTAACTTGGGAGGGGTGCAGGGGATGTGTCTGCACCCCTCCCCAACTAAAAGGTCTGCTTTTGAGGCAAGAAAAGATTTTGAGCTATATTAGAACATTTTGTGCAAAAGCAAAATGCTGCACGCTTCAGTAATTTTTGCCTCGGTCAATGCCCTCTTCAGGAGTTTACTTGTAACCCCCCTAAAATAATTGGTACGACCTCATGAATCCCACTGTTTTTCAAAATAAAACGCAAAATATCTATGCTTGGTCGGCTTTGTTGAGGAAAAAGCACACACCCCACGAAAAGTCCTAGTTACGGGCCAGCATCTGTCCTACTGTTTTCCCACAGACATCATGGGATGGATTAAAAAGGGAAGAACGCCTTCAGAGCACAGGTTATAATTGAACTCGTAAGTGAGAACTACAACTCACAACGTGGAATAGAAAACTTGAAGAAAAGATCTAAAGAAAAGTACAAAACACAAAGAAAGAATGTATGCATCAGATGCAAAGGCATAACTGTACAGCTTGCGGTCAATGTAATAAGTAGAACCAAAAGGCATAGTTTAGTCGTGAAGCTCTTGAAAAATTTCCAGCAATTTTTAATTTTCAAGACTTTTGTCAGATGATTTTTTCGCTATACACACTTCCATTATTACAGTGGATGCTCTGTAATAATCACACCTGGATATTCCATAACTATCTCCACAGATTGTAACTTTGAATGGTACAGATCAAACCACAGCACCTCAACACCTTGTTGCGGAGAGAATCAAGGTTGGTATTTTATGTGCTTTGTTTCTCTACATATTCATGGTGCAACGAGTACTTACCAAGTGCACAGCATTTAGTGAACTGCATGATGGCTGCCTTGGACATATTATATGTGATCATCATAGGAAGCTGCAATGTATGCAATAGGAAAATGCTCTCAAATTTGTCACGGATCAAACAATGCAAGTTTCCTTTGTACAGTGAGGTTTCAGGATATATATACACTGCCGTAATATCACACACACAAATCTAGCTTGTGAGTTTGCTGAAAACCTTTTACATTCCTGGGTGTACTGTTGTAGGAATGTTTTCCAACTCCATCAAACTTCAATGCTGCACAGAAAACAAGAGGATGAAATTTTGCATATTCGTACAACTTGGACAATCAAGCTGGTTATTAAAGTGCATTACTGGCACTCCCACTGACTTCTTGGTGATCATTTTTATTAGGCATTATTAAGTTTCTTCTGATTTTGAACCCTTTCTCTGTCACAGGTGCATTGACCTTATGAGCAAAACTTTACTAATGTCACAGTATTTTGGATGGGCAGCTGATAAAGGTAATTAACAGAAGTATTTCGCCATACATGAAGTGTCACACAATGATTCGTTACTTCTGAGCCAATTCTACTTATGTTAATACACATTGCTATATTGATCCAAGCTAAGGTTTTGCAGGCAGACTTCAAATAAATGAGATAAATAGAAAGAAAGCCTTACTTCCAACATTTTCCTGGGGAAATTTTCTTTGACAAATATACTGTACTCAATAGTGCTTAGTGTTGTGAGCTGGTTACTTACAGTTCTAGTGGCGCAAATGCTGGAAACGTTGACAATATTCCCTGTGGAGAAAAAACAATTTATTAATTTTAGATGTTTGATTATTGTTTAATATGCTGTTGTTAAAATATAACAATGCAGATAACTGTCAGGGGAACATAACCCCCAGTGTGGTGCACATATCCCCAGTGTGGTGCACAAGATGCAGAACATCAGTGTTGTATGACTCGAGTCCAGGACTCAGACTCAAGTCAGACTCGAGTCACATTTTTCATGACTTGGACTCGATCGAGTCACATTAAATAATGACTCGGACTCAACCACAATGACTCTGACTTGAGCTTGGTGACTTGTGACTTGAGTCATGTATTTTCATTAAACATATTTACCGTACACGCTGTCGAAAATTAATTTGTATGCACCCGTGCTATCGCTGGTTTGCATGCCTGGAGCATTGACACATTGCACATTTTCCACTTCGCCCATTTATGTATGGCTAAATATCAACTGATGAGTCAACCAGACGCGTCATATTCCACATCTACAAACTGTGCAGCAGTAATCAGACTATTCACTGGGCGCACATTTTGTTATTTACAGGTGAGTACCGACATACATATTCAGCCTCACAGTCTCCAGAACCAGTCGCAAATATGAACAATTTTAGTGAAATGGCCAGGCTCGTGTGTAAATGAAAAATGTGTGGCCTGCACTGGGCGTGACTGTAAATGGTTTTAAATATCCTCATCTTTGGCCAACATACTCTCCTTAAATTAATTTTGTTCCACTAAATAGAAATAAATGAAGATACTGGAATTTAAAGTTTAAATGGAGGATGATTTTCACAAGCAAAAAAGCACCCATACAATACCCAGTACCCAATTACATTGTATGTAATTAATCAGCATAAAAATCAGATAGCACACAATGAACTTACAACTTTGATCATGGATGTTCCTCCATGGTTTGACACACTTCGAATAATGGGCTGAACAACTTGATTCATGATTTGTGACTCGTGACTCGGACTCGAGGTTTGTGACTCAAGACTTGGACTGGAGGCTTGAGACTTGGGACTCGGACTCAACATTGGTGACTGTACTACAGCACTGCTGACACATCACTAATGCTAGCTGGCACAAAACAATGTGTGTTTGAAGTAGACTTCTCAACTCTTCCAACTTACAAATAAAATAAAATTACTCATAACACCATTGTGAATTTTATATCACTTCAAACATTTCCACAACTGTAGTCTTGAGTCAAACGTAAGTAAAGCTGAAGGAAGAGCCAACAGCAACAAGGAATGAGGAATGGCATGATGGCCTGGTTTCTGAAACTTGTAACTGGAGTTGAGACTAGGCAAACTTTGATGGGTAGGTCATAACTTTTAAAGGACAAAACTGCAGCACTGGTATTTTCTTAATAAACTTTTCAAACCCAGGTCATGATGTCAGGATGTCACAAGCAATCAAACGACACGCATCTTTGGACAAAACATAAGGTCAAAGGTCACTTGCATGGTATTTCCGGAGTGCACTTCCTACCACCAGTGAGTACACTGAACACATATGCCTGTACATGTATACGTTGTGCGCATTAATACGATAATTGGTCAGTTACATGTACACACCCACAGCCCTCTACATGTGCATATATGCATGCAAAGTGTCCTTTACTGGCTTCTCTATATGGGCCATATATCAATCATCTGAAATTACTGGAGAGATAAAATCTACCCATCTGACCTTTGGATTGAGCAAGGTGTGGAACAGCAAGATGGGTCAGCTGCAGAACTGCCCGAACGTTGACTCGTATGATGTCGTCATAGACGTTCATGATGCCTTCCTCGCCTAAGTACTTCACACACCAGATTCCCGCATTGTTCACCTGTAGGTGTGAGGGAGATGCACGTCAAAAGATGACAGTGCACCCTTGCAAAGGAACACTGGGTATGTAGGATGCAATAGTGATTTCAGGCTGGTTTGACAATTTCCGTTTGGTGTGTGGCATACTTACATGTGGTGTGGACCTTCATACAAAAGAAGGCCAAATAATGTAGGGTTAGAAGATGTGTGGACTCACACACGTCCACACAGTGTTTTCCCTTCACTCAAAAACCACTCCAGAGGTATTAGAGGCCAGGATAATTTGTGAAGAAATAAATGAGAACAGTTCAGGAAATCATCAGCCAAAATGTTACCATGCACATGACTGAGGGAGAAAAAGGGACATTTCCCCAGGAGTTTTCTGAACCATACAGGAATAATGGAATGCCCATACTATGAAACAAACGTGTGTTGGTCATGCATGGAAGGACAACTCCATTCACTGGGGACGTCAAGATGGAGTTGTGTGTAAAAAAAAATACATGTGTAGTCCTCATAACTACCTAACAAGTAAAGGTACGTATATAATATATTCAAATCAGGGTCCAAGGATGGGTGAGGATCCACACTTAGTAAACCGTGTACAATTGTACACAGTTTTCCAATTGCAATGTTTGTAATTTTATTTTGTCTTTCCANAAACATCAGTTTTCCAAGTCTTTGTACAAATTTGGCTAAGACTGACCAACATGTTGACCATCACTAGACAGTTAAGTTCATAACAAACAAAATGCACTATTTCATCACAAGGAGTGCTCAAGAGATGTTATGAAATACCTTTTTGTATAAATGCCATAATGATAATGATTCAAATAAAACACATTATCTTCTAAACAACTTGGCTATTCATTCCCAAAACAACTCCAGAAGAAAGTGTTTGATAAGGGCAATGACTGCACACGAACACTAAGGGCACACAGCCTAATACAAGCAACTGCCCAAGCATTAAATTTGATGTTGTTTTTTGTAGGTGATACCAAGCACCATCGATGAATGAATATTCATCTTCCTATACTGCAGTGTACAACATTTTCAGGATGCAGATTACCAGCAAGAAATTGCGGAGATGATCACAGGGTACAAAGGGGTTTTGTGGTTGTAAATCAGGTGGTGTGTAGCAAGCGTTCGCTGCGCTCTGGCTATGGACATACCAGGCATGCCAGAAAGCGGTAATTGGCCAGATGTTGCAGCCCGGGCAGTTCAAACTCCTGTGTCCTTCCTCTATGGTTTAACATGCTAAAATATCAGTGCACATCAACCTTTTACATCTCTACAAGTACACATGTATTTTATTGAGATTAGAAACATTAGTCCTTAATGTTGCCTTTAGTAAAGTGATTTTTACTCAAGCCTTAGTCATTGCTCTGTGGAGCTGGATCACAAACAAAATGAGATTGCTTTTTGCCCACAGAGCAAGGTAAAATACCAGCATTTTGTACCTACACATGCAGCATGCAAAATACACGCATGTAAATGTTGTTCATGGCATGCTTCTGACTCATTAATCATTTGATGCATGTATAAGTACCCTGTTAACAAATTCCTGTGAATTCTACATGTACTTTTGTCAAAATATAACAGTTCAGTTTAAAACCTGGTATGCACTTTACCCCTGGTATATGTGCATGTACACGTACTTGTCTCTGAAGGAAGTGTCTTTGCTGCAGGTACATGTACTGGTAGGTGTTTTACTGCAAGAATTTCACTAAGGCTAAGACATAGTGATTTGAGAATTTTATCAAATTACTTGATTTAAATTTCTTAATTTAAATCCAAATTTATTCAATTTTGTCACAAAACAAATAAATAAAAGAAAAGTATTACACATGCAGCTACATGTAATTTGCTTGCTTTTGAATAGACCTTTGAGCCAACTTGTCTCAAATTTTCATAAAAATTAAAAAATCTGATTTCAATCATAAAAATCTGATTTAAATTTTAAAAATCCGATTTTTTTTCTTAAAAAACAAATTCAAAAAAATCAACAACCCCGGTTTACAGTTTAACACAAAACTTCATTCGCTAGCCAGTCAGCAACTGAGTGACTACATTTTAACCCAGCCAGGAAAGGGTTCCTACCAATACGTCCAGCTGGCCAAACTGCTGAATAGTACTGTCCATAATGCGTTGTACGTCTTCATCTTTGGCCATGTCAGCAATGATGCCCAGCACCTTCAAAGATGCACAGGAGGAAACAAAGGCAAATTCATATAACTACAATAGACCAATCTAGTAAGCACCACCGCTCACTGCGCACATGGACACTTTACACATACTGCGGTTACCAGCCAAGCGCATTGCATGCGCATGCATGTCAGACTTTGATGAGTACGTGTCGGACAAAAACAACTCGTATAACTACAATAGACTGATCTAGTAAGCACCACCGCCCACTGCGCACGAGGACACTTTACACATACTGCGGTTACCAGCCAAGCGCATTGTATGCGCATGCATGTCAGACTTTGATGAGTACGTGTCGGACAAAAATCATGTCTGTGATTGGTCAGAACACAACGGGGCAGGGCCTCTTCATGCAAGGCAAACATCAGAAAATGGTTCATATGGCAGGTTGAGGGCTACTGGTATGCCAGAGAATGAACTAGTTCAGTATTTCAAGAAGCCAAAATCTTTTGAAAACAAAGCACGCATGAGTCAACATAATGGCTGTGCTGGTAGGACAGACGATCACGCACTCACACATAGCCAAAATAGCCTCGTACTACATATAGGAATGCACTGTTGGAATAGCGAACTGGCTTATTGCAGGACACTTTTGAGTGATTCGTCAAAACAGCTTCCAAAAAATTGCCTTTCTCCAGCAAAAAGAAAAACTGCTCGACATGGTTCCTCACTGTGGATGAATTTTCACTTTGGCATCATCAACTGGAATCACGGCAAAAAGAACTATGTCATTTCATACATCCTGCTGTCTTCAATATTTAGAGATTCATCGCTAGTTTACATGTAAATGTAAAGCACACAACAGTAGAGAGGTTCTTCACCAATGATGTACATGTATTCAATTGGGAGTAATGATTGGATTCCCAATTTAAATAGAAAAGCTCTAAACTGAACGGTATCCTCCTTCAATGACAGCAATGTCACCCTCATTTGTCCAAAAGCATGAAAAATGTCACTGTTTACAAAAGTCGACTTCTCAAATTACAGACTAACCAAGCAGACTACTCATATACTGTACATTTAAGACAGGAGGAAAGCTGCACAAAATAAGTTCCAAAGTAGAATTCAAGTCACGGACTCTATAACCCCAAATATAGCTCATGAATCAGAAAGGGAGTCCACGACAATGTTCTGACTTTGAGCCATCCAACCTGATGCCTGACCTTCTCTTTTGGGACGCCTTTATCCTGGCACTGTTGACACACTGCATCCAGGTTTTCTTTGTTGCGTCCGACCAGCGCCAGACCACCACATCCCGATTCCGCAAACTCAACGGCAGTCTCTGCACCAATGCCAGAGCTAGCCCCTTGAAGGGAAGGGCACAATTGATTCTAACATGACTTTAATGCACAAAGCAACACTACAGTGACCACTGTTCCAGGGATGCACCGGGGGGCTTAGGGATAAGGGACTTAAGCCCTCCCCTATACGTTTTCCTTTTCTTTTTTTTACTTTCTGAAAAACGAAGGTACACGTACCTACGTCTTAAACTGCTACCTGTAGCTCTGATGTTGCTATAAATCCCACTCCCCTGTGGCATAACAGGGTAGGGGGACTTGAACAACACGAGCCGTTTAGGGATAAAATCCAGTCCAAGTACCTCCCTTAGGGACGGCGACCATTTAGACCCGGTTTGAAAAGGGCCCTCCCCCCCGGTAGCCCACCCAGTATAATGCCTGCCCGGTATTCAGCCTAATCCAGGCCGGTATAAGGCCTGTCTGCACATTGGCATTTCAAAGTCCCTGATGAAAGGGTTCCCCCACCATGCTTCCACAGATGAATAGGGGTCTAAGCGGATTAGTGTAAACACTGTACAGCACTGAAGGATTAAAAACCACAAGCAGGTTCCTTCTTGGATAGATTACATGTACCAGTAACTTGCAAACAATAGACCCCAGGATGGAGAAGTTCGAGATCAACAACCAGTCCAGCATCCCAGGTCGGTAGCCAGGCCGGTAGCCAGGCCGGTAGCCAGGCTGGTAGCCAGGC